GCTACCGGTGGTGGTGGTGTTCGTGGTGCTATATGAGTCGTCACCAAGTCCTCAATGGCCGTCATCCTGGCAATGAGAGGAGCCATAAGATCCACCAAGTACTGAGGAGCCTGCTGCGGCTCGGGTGGTGCCTGCTGAGGCTCGGACTGAGCTGGCTGCTGCTCGGATGGAGTCTGCTGTGACTCTGCCTGGGTAGCTCTCCTGGTACGAGGTCTACCACATCCTGCCATCTCTCTGCTCGTAAGAAAATAAGAGTTTATGAGTCAAAATAGACTTCTATAAATAGCGTATCACAATACAATTTTCACAACATATAGTATTTGCACAAATACTTTAAACTTATACAAAAATAGTTGTCAAAAAAAAATTCTCAAATTTTGAGATATATGCATATATCGTCCTCACTCATACTAGGAAATCCTTACGGACTCTATACATGAATCCTAGGAAACTCTATCCTAGCTCCACGACTCGACACAGGATGATCCTAAGGATACTGGAACTAGAGCTCTGATACCAACTGTGACGCCCCTGGGTTCACACAAGGCTGCAGTCCGAGGTGAAACCTAGGATGTCAAACCTGCTATGCACCACACCGTGCAATAACATGTTTCACCATCACAATTAACATCTATCTAGTAGAGTCAACAACTGGTGTAGGTACAAAACAGGTAAAAGACATTACGAGGAATACTGATGAAATGATAATAGTCACATAAATATCTCATCATCCAACAACATAGAAGTACATAGTCAAGATCTGAGTAGATAAACTGAAATACTTGATAAGTCTCAAATACAAATATCTGACAATAAGGAAATAAGGCTCACAGCCTTTACAACTTCTAGAATAATACCCTCAAATGTCTAACCTCACTACAGTGGAGACCAAAGAAAATAATACATAGCTAGAAAGTAAAGCTGAACACTAATGTGGTCCGCTATCAACCTGCGGCTCTCCGTGCTCCTGGCTCGTGACCTGAAAGGGGGAGGGGCAACGAGCGTCAAAGCGCTAGCGAGTAACATCACAACCAACCCCAAGGGGACAGGGCTCGTTGTATATGAAAATACAGATAATATATAATAGATCTAAAATCATTGATCCTACTAAAGAGGGTTTTAGTATTTAGAAATTTACAACACGAGCATAGGTACGTCGAGCGAAATAATCCAAACAAGGAAACCCTCATGTATATACCTTGTATCTCAAATTGTAAATCTCTAAACACCAAACCCGAGGTTCTAGTACAGAAATAATAATAAAAGAAATACAGCAAACACCAGAGCATAATTACAGTGTGGTGATATAGTCAACGTAAATATCACAATATTTATTACATAAATATTGTGTCAATACCTTCATAAGTGTGGTACAAAATTTGCATAATCAGTATGTTGTGAAATGTGGTACAATAATCACACGCAGGAAGAAGAACCATGTCCGATGCAAGGTCCAACTATCGTAGTTTTCCAAACTCATGGAATAAATGGCAGTTGTCCAACACGAGGACTGAGAGGGATTATAGTCCAACACGAGGACTTCTTATGGATTATAGTCCAACACGAGGACTGTAGGGATTTGCATAAGGCCGCCACAAGTATGTAGTGAAATCTACTTATCAGTTTTCATAACCAAATCGGTATATGTGTCCCAAATTCATACCCTCAGGTCATCTATCATGCATGGACACATAGTGGGGCTAATAACTAGGTCAGATAAACCAGACAAAACCCCGAATAGGAGTAAAAATACCCAAAAACACCAAATCTGGAAATCTGCAACAGAGGGGTCGGCGGTCGACCGATACGGTCGACCGAACTCTGATACAAATCAGGACGGTCGACCGCCAGGAATATCGGTCGACCGACCAGACATCGCGGTCGACCGAAAAATGACGCGGGCGACCGAAATCAAATAGCCGATACGGTCGACCGAACTCTGATACAAATCAGGACGGTCGACCGCCAGGAATATCGGTCGACCGACCAGACATCGCGGTCGACCGAAAAATGACGCGGTCGACCGAAATCAAATAGCGGTCGACCGAATAAATGACGCGGTCGACCGAAGCCCTGACTCGAGCTCAGCGGTCGACCGCGTCGGTCGACCGCCGAGCGAACAGAACCCTACCTGGGTTCTGTCAGCTGCTAAAACCTGGAACCAAAGATTTCGATAACATGGGTATTTGATAAAAATGGGATCATACTGAAAATACACAACCAAAACCAAAGTTTGAAATCTATATTTTCAAGATCTTAAATCCATGAGAAACAAATCCAAATCGTTTTAAAAGCTGTAAAGATGTTTGAAACTCTTTTAGGCAAAAACTCAGATCTAGATCTTCTTTAACAGGGCATGGGTGAGTTTTGACAACATATTAAGCCCCAAACCCATATTCTAGGCTATAGTAAACTATTAGCTAAACAAAGATACGAATTTGGCTCCATAAATCCAATAAAAACTCAGTTCTTGATGTTTAAACCAAAGGGGGTGGGGGTTGGGCGAGAAATTACTCGCCTTGGTTGCTGATAATGCCCTAGATCTGTAAGATGTTGATCCCCTTCGCTGAAAACCCACGATCTGCCGAAAATCCCCAAGGACTGCTCCCAGGTTGCCAAAATCCAGTTAGGGTTTTGAGGAAGAAGAGAAGGGGCTAGGGTTTACGTTTGGGGCTGAGGAGATCTCTCCTGGGTTGAGTTGGTATAAATACCAACTCCCCAACCCGACCCGAAACCCAAAACCCAACAACTAAAAACCCGAAACCAAAACCTGGTAATCTCTCTGATCGCTGATCGGTCGACCGCGCCGGTCGACCGCGCCGGTCGACCGATCAGCACAAAAATGCCTGCTGATGGCATTTTACCTGCTGATCGCCAACTCACTCAATTTCTCTCACTTGCAGACACCTGCTGGGCTCCCAAACTCTGATACACATATATATCTTATGCTTATATAGTTATTTATCACAAGGGAATTATCTACTATTACTAATTCACACATATATATACATATATACATTATAGAAATTTTTTGGGGTTTTACACTAATCTTAGTGTTCTGAAAAACAACTTATATTCTACTCGCCATTGACTTGCTGCTTTTACCTTCTTCTCCCATTACAAACTAACTCCAAATTATAGAGAAAGAATAAATTTGATAGAAATTAGGAACCACCCAACTGAACCCTAGATCGGATTCCAAATAGATCTCCTATCCACACGAGGAAAGCGAAATCTCCAAAGGTAACTCCTAATGCTATCTCTACCGAAGCCTAGAACTCTAAGAACCAAGCTTCACACAAAATCTTTCTCTACCAAACTCCAAAATCCTAGATCTGAAATCTGGGCTCTGATACCACTTGTTGCGCGTAGCAAAAATTTTGGCAGCACTTCGACAGCACAACAAGAGAGTCAGGTCGCAATAGAAAATCCTGTTTCACAAAGAAAACAGGAACCTTAAGCAAAATATTTCAACCAAGTGAGATATCAGCTCTTCCTCTCATCAGTTCTAGGACTGACCTATCGAGGGAACCTAAAAGCTATTACAAATCATACAAATAGCGAGACAATCAATTTTATGTGGTTCGGTAAATTGCCTACGTCCACGTGGCAAGGAGGGAGGAGATCTACTATTAGAGAGAATAGAAACAGGGTTTACACACACAATATCTCACAAATAAAACCATCACAATCTCTCTCAAAGGGCGCCGGTTTTTCTCCTGCTGTGAATTTTCCCGCAGCAGCAAAAAGCTCCTTTGCACGTCCTCTTTGCTTCTGCGTTCCCCTCTTTTGCACGTGGTTTTAGCCTACAGCTGCAAAACCAATCCTTGCACTCACACTTTGCACGGCCACCAAACCCTAGGAAACGAGTAGCATTTATATGTTGAGATGTCCTTTCGAGTGGGCCAGCGAAAAGAAATTGTGGGTTCTTGTTGTGCTGCACGTGGGTGGCCCCCACAGTCCTTCCGCGTTCACACTAACATCCATGTCATGGCATGACAATTGGTTTGTCTCAATATCAATACTAGACGATATGAACTTAAGAGGTGACTCTATGCTCTTCTAGATCGAGGTGGCTCCCACCGCACTCACATAATGTACCACTTAAGCTAAGAATAACACTTAGCTTTATATTTTCTACGGGCTAACTGCTATGATATCATTTGTTACACCCCGGGCCAGTAAACCCGTTAGCATGGTGTAAGTCCCCACAAAATGCAACATATGGTTTAACTCAATAAATTAATCACTCAATTAATTATTAGCTCGCTTAATATAGTATGTATTAGTGAAAGAAAATATAATTAACAAGTCGGGAATTAAATTTTCTTCCATCAATTAATCACTCAATTAATTATTTGCTCGCTTAATTAGTATGTATTAGTGAAAGAAAATTTAATTAAAAAGTGGGGAATTAGCTTGTATATGGTTCGTACATTGTATATTTCAATTTTATCAGCTAGACTCGTCTACGTAAGCCTTTAACCATCTCTCTCATGCTTAGGATGAATACTTTAAGCGCTCATATCTAAAATTCTTGATCTCTCTGCCCTCTTCCTCCTCAATAAATTCTAAATCCTTAGCACTCGGATTATTTTATTTTTTACTAACTGAGGATCTATGAAGTCAAGACTCACCTACCCCTACACCTAACTCCCTATTACACCAACCTTTAGCAGTAAACTTGAAAGGATATAAATGGACGATTAATAGTGAAGGGTGAAGGCCATCGGCCAAGAGAGGTTAGAGAGAAGAGAGAGTGAGGTAATTTCTTTCTTTGGTGAAGGGTGATGGGCATGCATCTGACACCTAACTCCCTATTACACCAACCTTCAAATTTAGAAATTTTATATTAAAAATGAAAAGCTATAAATGGAGGATAAATGGCGAAGGATGAAGGGCATCGGATAAAGAGAGGAGTTAGAGAGAGAGAGAGGAGTTAGAGAGAAGAGAGAGGCAGAGAAAGAGAGAGAGTTAATTTCTTTCTTTGATGGGGTTAGAGAGTGATCTTATTTGTAATATTCTTTTTTGTGATTAGTGAATTTTTCTACTGCTCTCACCCGTGGATGTAGATCATACTGACTGAACCATGTTAAATCCTTGTGTGCTGTTCTCTGTCTCTACTCTGATTATCTAGTACTGTGTTGTTACCCACTTTGTATAGATATATTCTGTGACTGTGTATAGCCCCCGCTTCCACAATAAGTTTGTACCCTACTAACAGTTTACAACTATTTTAAGTATGGAGCTTTATGTTTCCATTTTCAGTGTAAGCATAATTACCATGTTGGTAATCTGGGTTCATAGATGGAGGAATCCCAAATGCAACGGCAAGCTCCCTCCTGGCTCCATGGGTTTGCCTCTCCTTGGTGAGACTCTCCAATTCTTCAAGCCCGACACTTCCAACGATTTACAACCCTTCGTCAAAGAGAGGGTAAAGAGGTACAATATGGATATTTTTCTTCATTCTAATCGTAAACATTGTAAACTAAACCTCTAGATGCCATTTCTGGAAGGTTTCTTCCGCTCCGCTAAATTTCCAAAGCTATAAAAAGAATCAAGGGTTATAATTTTGTACTCTGACTTGTTCACAATTTTATAGATTGAAATGTGGGCTTACATAGCAGTACATTTTTTTTTCTTCCTTAAGTTCTGTTTTAAATATGTTTGGAGTGCTATCAGAAGTAGGTTTTCTCTAATCACCATTTTGAAGTCCCTTATACTATAGCAAAACTCCGACATTAGGGTTTAGTTGGATGGTTATAATTTATAGTAATATTTCTCGTTTTGGATTCGGGTTCAGATATGGGCCAATATTCAAAACCAGCTTGGTGGGCCAGCCCGTCATCATCTCCACGGACCAAGAACTTAACGATTTTGTGTTTCAGCAAGAAGGGAATCTATTTCAAAGCTGGTACCCTGAAACTTTCATGGAGATCTTTGGGCAAGACAGCGCGGCAGCTTTACATGGGTACATTCACAAATACATCAAGAACCTAGTGCTTAAACTCTTTGGACCGGAGAGCCTCAGAGAAAGGCTACTCCATGACGTGGAGAAGTCTGCTCGTTTAAGTTTATGCTTGTGGTCCGAGGAATCGAGCGTTGAGCTGAAAGATGCAATATCAACTGTAAGTTGATCTCGAACCGTATATAATTTTATTCTTTAACTATAACTCTCTTTCTTATAATTAGAGAATAACTGCTTTGTATATACCCTGTTTTCCAAGTAACTCTTCTCGTTTACAGTCATTCATTAATGAAATCGTTAGCTTCTTGTTTTTCCAAACACGCAGACTACTCTCTGTATTAAAAAAAATATATAGGTTAATAACAGAGAGATTAGATCTTTTTTCACTTCTATTCGGAGACAGTTTCCTTATTTTCTTCTCTTCAATTGTCAAAATCTGTGGATTTTGGAGTGAAGTCTAATGCGCGGACATTTATCTAGACGTCAATCTGAGCGTACCTTTAAAGCACAAAACTTCGTTACAAAATTAATGATTTTGACGATAGATCATGGAGAAGTTTATTTTTTTTTTCTTCATATTTTTATTTTATTTGATAAATCGTTAAGAGGTTTATTGAAAACAATGGTATAAATAAAGGGTTTCTTGTAATATATCATTGACTTTAGTAGGATGTTTGTAGATAGCCCATGCATAATATATCCATACATGCCAGAGATATTATCCTCTTCAAAACAATCAATAACAGTGGGCATATTTCTCGACCCTTGACATAGAATCAGAGATCAAATCAATCAGCAATATTTTTTCTCAATGCTTTACGTTGTCACTTGGTGTGTTTATTTTTTTACATATCCCACTCTTAATTTTGTTCGATTTTTACAGATGATATTTGATCTCACGGCTAAGAAATTGATCAGTTATAATCCTTCCGAGTCCTCAGATAACCTGAAGGATAGTTTTGTTGATTTCATTTCGGGATTAATCTCATTTCCCGTGAACATTCCAGGAACTGCTTACCAAAAATGTGTACAGGCATGCCTCTCTTAAGAAAAAAGAATCCAATTTACTTGTTCAGATTTAACTTTCATGCCTCCGAAAAAGAAATATTACTTTAGGAAATTTTTTTAAAATGAGCCATTTTTCAATTTTATATAGCAAAACCGACCTGATTACAAATTAATCTGCAAAACCGTCCCCTTTCTTCGGAAAAGGGTCGATTTTGCAGCAGCGATGTTTTTCGAGCTACACGAGACTAGTAGTCTTGTGTAGTTCGTCCAGCAATTGAAATGCACGGGACTAGCAGTCCCATGTATTTCATTTTTTCTTTTGGATAGTCTCTGCTTTTTACTCGGGACTGATAGTCCCGAGTAAAAACAGATACTTTTTGCGTCACAAACCAATTGCACGGGACTAGCAGTCCCGTGCTTTTCGGGGACACAAAACAAAATGCACGGGACTAGAAGTCTCATGCATTTCTTGTGCACAAAAACATGCACATGTTGCTTTTCCTTTTTTTGTCAATTCCCTGTATAAACTCATATATCAAATCTAAAAATCATAAATTACACCACAAACACAAACCCACTTACAAATCAAACAAATCACACCACAAACCCACTTACAAATCCAATAAATCACACCACAATCTCAGCTACAAATCCAAAAACCATCTCACATCCTGAAATAGGTTTGTAATGTATATAACAATATTGATTAGTTTACATACATCCAAGAAATGTTCTCCTCCTCCTTTGTCTTCGCCCCCCTCCATCCCGACCTTCGACGAGTTCGTGATCCGGTTGCGTTTGTGGTTGTGACGGTCCAGCTCCGTCGTCAACACGTTGGGAAGGCGACGAGTTCGTGATCCGGTTGCGTTTGTGGTTGTGACGGTCCAGCTCCGTCGTCAACACGTTGGGAAGGCCCAGCTTCATTTGTGGTTGTGACGGTCCAGCTCCGTCGTCAACACGTTGGGAAGGCCCAGCTTCATTATCGTTTCTGCGTCGTCCTCGTCTTTGTTGTGGTTGACGCGTGTATACGAATTGCGTTTCCTCTCGTCCATCATGAAGGTCTTCGTGAGTCCGGTATAAGGCTTGGTGAAGCCTCCCCATTACTGACTGATATATTGATGCATGTTCCTGTGCTTCGAGAGATGTACCCGCGAGGGATAATTCAAAAAATCTGAAATGAAAAAATTACTTTAAAATTCAAATTACATAATGTAAATTTCATATTTAATTCTATATTACCTACTCGAGCCAATTCCATGCCACTATTTGCAATGGTTTGAACATCATCTATTACTGATACCTGTAATTTTTTTAAAAAACACAAGTTAGCAATATTGAGAAATACCAATAAAAATGGACTAAATTGTTCAAAAACAAAATTTGAGAATACTTACTAATTCTCTCTCATCTATACCCTGAGGCACATATCCTTTTTGCAACTCAAACAGTTCTATGGTCTCGTGGAATATCCATCTTTTGGTTATCCCTCAATACCAAGTGTAGTAATCTGATTCCCGGAGAGTTGGTTCAATTTGCTCAACAATACAAAAATGTCTATCATTCCATCTGTGTATATAATTTTGATGCTCAACTGCTCAGTCCTTTTGTTGGTCTCCTTTCTTTGCCTTCCTCTCTATTTTTTCAACAAACTCTAGAACATGTTGTGCAAGACCAAATTGTCGAAGCATGCGGTCCAGTACATGCATTTCTACTATCTCAAAACATATTAATGGAACTCTAGCTCTTCATGTAACTGGGATTCTGTACATACCGGGGGTAGATGATTGAGAAATTGGGCGTAAGGCTCACATTCCATCTATAGAATATTTCATATAATTGTTGCATATCATTAAAACCAAAGTTGATATATAGAAGAGTTGATATATAGAAGTAAAAGCTAATTTTTATATTAGTGATACCTGAAAAATCTTCATACGGTCAAGCTCATTTTAGTAGAAATCTAATTGTCTAGCCGGGGTCTCGTCATAACATTTTTGGACATTCCATCTGTGTTGTTTTCAAAATTCAGTACGATAATGATAATTATAATTATAGTTGCTATGTTAAAAATATAATACCTGCATCCTAGTAGAATTTGTCCATCTAATTGTAAATTCACGCATAGTCTCGGCTTCAAGTGAAGTCTCTCCCGTGCTCATACTTGCAATAAGCTGAGACACCTTTTAAAGTCACTATTTTTCATGAATGCCACTTTGGACATGTCTCTATATAGGTACGCCAAAACAGCACTACCCTACGATAGATTACCACATGTGTTTAGCCTATAGAACGTTCTCACAACCAATGATTGTATTGGTATAGCTCGTGCTCCTTTAAGAACACTGTTAATGCTCTCGGAGCAATTAGTTGTCATCATGCAAAACCGTACACCCTCATCCTTACATAATGCCCATCAATGCTTGAATTGAGACTTTAAGTTATTTTCAATCCAATTATGTGCATCTAAAGACAAAGACTTGATTTTCTCCCTACAATGTTCATACACTAATGTATCGGTTGCACACCCAGCTTGCCACAAAAGATTTTGCAAATTAATTTCATCATGTTTTTTCTTAAAATTATCTCTTATATGCCTTAAACAATATCGATGGTGATGTAGTGCACAAAAACCCTCATATAATACCCTTATAATTCCTTTCATCCTATCCGAGATAAAAGTAATTAATCTTGGTGTACGGACACTAGGAATCTACTTGTATATAAGTTCAAATAACCACTTCCAACTAGAAGTATCATCTACCTCCACGAGTGCAAATGCTAGAGGAAATAAACCGCCATTTGCATCTACATTGGTCGCCACAAGAATCATGCTAAGCACGCCTTTGTACTTACCATATAAATGTGTACCGTCAATGCTCAATAACGGACGACAAAAATTGAAGCCCTTAAAAGCAAGACCAAATGCCCAAAATACTCGAGTGAACCTCTCCATCCCCGGTGCAATCTCTTCGGACAATATTTCATATTCAGTACCCAGATTATTTCGCTTGATAGCTTCAAGATACTATGAAAGTAATACATATGATTTTTTCAATCTCCAAATATTTTAGACAATGCTTTCCTCCTTGTGTCATATGCCTTATATTTAGATATCTTAATGCCCCGCATGTCATATACCCTTTGAAATATCTGACCTGCATTTAGATCAAGTTCAGCCCTAACTTCAGGAATAATTAGCTTACATATATAAAAGGAAGATGCAGAATAATCATCGACATCCACCAACGGATTGCAACATGTATGAAGTCCCAATATCTAGATATTACAAATTGCCCTTTTGAATATTTTCTCACAGCTACATTTAGCAACAAAGGACATTTTCTATTTCTCTCATCTTGCTCATTTGCATGCTCGACTTCAATCTTCTCGTTAAAGTAACATTTTTACATAGTAGTTTGTTATATTAGTTTTTATCGGCTTGAATTTGACCCGATTTTTGATAGACCATTCTCGGATTTTAAAGATCAATACTTTCTTGCTCTCGAATAGGTCCTCTTTTTTAAATTTTTTAAAAGTGAAGTCCTCAGGCCGTTAAAAATTTGGACCAACATCAACAAATTCGGCTTGAGAAGTATTTATCCAATCCTCATTATGAAACTTATCGGGTAACGGATCTTCAGCTTCCACATAATCATTGTTAACTTTAAATTGTTCCATCCAACAGGAGTCATCATTGATTCTAGCTGCCACCTGCATGCTATCGATTTGCACACCTTCTTCTTTAATATCTTATGAGTCATCATTTGCTTCTTCTTCTACAATTGATCTGGTCAGTAGGTCACCCGTAACATGGCCCAAACCATCGTTAAAAATAGTACTTGACGTCCTACGAAGAGAATGACCACATAAATTTTGTAGTTGAAACCACGGATCCTGACTTAGAGATGTCATAAAACCACTCGACTCATTGTCTAAGTCAAGCATCCGAGAAAACTCTCCTTGAGGTCGTGAAACTTGGGAAAATTCATGAATCAGATATTTCTCAATGAACAACTTAATTGACACTTGCTTCTCGACTAATTATTTCATGTCATTCAATTCCTCATCGTCAATAATCTCCACAGGAATGGTTCTACTCTCATTTATCGGACAGTTGAAGAACACCTTAGTTACATACTCTGCTTTATTAATTTTAGTAACTTTGTGTATTTCATTCATCATTCCATCAAAATTACATAACTTAGATAGCATAAATATTTTCCTATAACCTCCCTCATACATAGACATACTATTCAATCCAACGTCGATCGAGGCTCCCAATGAAAAGGCAAATAATGGATATAGAGTTTGCCATTGAAGCTAAAAATTAATAGTTCATCAAATGTAAATAATCTATTATAACTAAAAATATTAATCTTAATTTAAAATCAAATTTAAAACCCTAATCTCAACTGAAAAGCAAATAATGGCTAAAATCCCTAATCCCAAATCACATTATTCATGGCTAAACCCTAAACCCAAATCTCAACTAAAAAGCAAAAAACCCTAATCCCAAATCACATTATTCATGGCTAAACCCTAATCATATTATAACTAAAAATTATTCATAAAATACTAACCCCAAATCACATTATTCATGGCTAAACCCTAAACCCAAATCTCAACTGAAAAGCAAAAAACCCTAATCCCAAATCACATTAGTCATGGCTAAACCTAATCACATTATAACTAAAAATTATTCATAAAATCCTAATCCCAAATCACATTATTCATGGCTAAACCCTAAACCCAAATCTCAACTAAAAAGCAAAAAACCTAATTCCAAATCACATTATTCCTGGCTAAACCCTAATCACATTATTCATGGCTTAACCCTAATCATAATACTCATGGTTAAACCTTAATCCCAAATCTCAACTAAAAAGAAAATTTCATGGCTAAACCCTAACTCCCAATTCATATCCCTCATCAAATTTAACAACAAAATTAAAAAAAAAATTACCTTGATCGGAGCTTGGTCGGCGGCGGTGGTCAGGAGCTTAGTCAGCGGGGTCGGTGGGGATCGGTCGAGTAGAGAGAGCGGAGGGGCGAGAGAGGGAGTCAAGAGAGGGGCGAGAGAGGAGAGAGGGGTCACGGGTCAATGAGGGAATGAGGGTGTCACGGGTTAATAAAAGAAATGCACGGGACTGCTAGTCCCGTGCATTTCAACTACTGGTCGCAGTACACGGGACTAGCAGTCTTGCGTAGCTCGAAAAAACACTGCTACTGCAAAACCGATCCTTTTCCGAAGAAAATGGTCGGTTTTGCAGATTAATTTCCAATCAGGTCGGTTTTGCTATATAAAATTAAAAAAAGACCCCCTTTTAAAAATTTGTCCATTATTTTATTTTATCTCTTTTGCCAGGGACGAAAGAAAGTGATGAAGCTGCTGAAGGATATATTAGCTGAGAGAATGAACTCACCGAATAGAAAATGCATTGATTTTTTCGATTGTGTCGTCAAAGAGCTGAAGAAAGAAAAACCAGTTATAACAGAAGCTATTGCTTTGGATTTAATGTTTGTGCTTCTTTTTGCGAGCTTTGAGACTACATCCTCAGCATTGACGTTAGCCATCAAATTCTTATCAGAAAATCCTGAAGTTTTGGAGGAATTAACGGTCAGTAAAATTCTATTAACATCAAATTCTTGTATAAATGATACTTATCTATGTGTTAACCTTCACTTTTTTCAGAAAGAGCATGAAGCAATTCTCGGAAACAGGAAGTACCCAGATTCTGGAATCACATGGCAGGAATATAAATCTATGAACTTCACATTCCAGGTGAACGAAATTAGTAATAATACATATACATATCTGATTTAATTTTTTTCCATATATTATTGCTCAATGAGTTTGTGGATATGACTGAAGCTAACTAGTTTCAGTATAAATGACTTACTCTTCTCACTTCTTGCTGTTGAGCAGGTTATCCATGAAACAACCAGGCTGGCAAATATCGTACCAGGAATATTCAGAAAAGCAATGAAGGAAATCCATGTTAATGGTGTGTGTATTATAAAATTTTAATATTTATATTTTATTGTTATGCATAATAATAATTCCCTCGAACATGTTCAAATTTTGGCGACACAGGATACACGATCCCTGCAGGTTGGGGGGTGATGGTATGTCCTCCAGCGGTTCACTTGAATCCTCGGATATATGAAGATCCACTTTTGTTTAATCCATGGAGATGGAAGGTTAGTAATAGCTATAAACTTAGAATATCAGATCATAAAAGGTACGCAGATCCATAGAAAAGAATAAAAAGAATCCATCTCGTTATTCTAATAATAACAGCATTAGAACGGTAAAAGTGTCTATCCTGGGTATTTTAGGCCAACTTGCATTATCAATTTAGTAGTTATCAGTATTAATGTGACTGATACGTTGTTAAGAGCTGGAATATCTAGATTTCGCTTGCTCATTACACCTGACACCTCCTTCCATTGTACAAAAACTTTGAACTTGAGGTAAGCATTGATGCATGGCTGTAATTTTGCACGTTAACATGTTCCCTAGGGTGAGCATCTTTATGGCGATGAACGTGAAACTTTTGCACAACAATATATTGCTTTTTATTTTTATTTTTTGCACCCCTAAACCCGCTTTCAAATATGTGTCTAGCTAGTTGCTTTAAAACCATCTGAGTCCTCCATCTAGCGTCAAATCTGGGCACGGTGTCGTAAAAACTATTTAAGTTAGCAAAATTTAAATTCGGGACAGGGAAAGTCTGAGCTAAGCGGAGGATCAAAGAATTTCATGGCTTTTGGAGGAGGGGTAAGGTTTTGTGTAGGAGCAGACTTCAGCAAGCTTCAGATGGCGATATTCCTGCACTGCTTGGTTACCAAGTACAGGTATTTTCGAGGAGGCTTTCACCATTTCAAGTCCAATTTCCTAGAGTACAAGTAGCTAGCATTCTTGTACTAATGCTTCAAGTGAACATCGATCACTGTGTTTCGTACCTTAACAGGTGGAAGCCAGTCAAGGGAGGGAACATAATCCGGACTCCTGGCTTAGGATTTCCGGATGGCTACCATATACAAATATCCCAAAAAAGAATGAAATAGTTTGAGGTGTGATGGATCATTTGGTTTGAATACGTGACTAAATTATTGAATTTGGGTCAGTTATATGTATGGTACGTGTCTAGCTAGCTTATGTAGATGATCCTCCTGGGGCATTGTCTGTGAACGCCCCTTTCAGTATTCAGTATAGTTGCCTTAAGTATTGATCATTTCTCAGCTTGCTCATTCATTAGTAGTTATCGTGGTTATGAGATGGTCTTACGAAAAATCGCATTTAATGGTCTATGATATCTTCAATGGTACTTATCGAAGATGAATTAGAGCACTACTGGTCTTATGTTCTATTATATCTTGAACATGCTGCCCGTGTTCCTCTATTATACCGTACGCATCAAACACGGTGACAAAAAAAAGCATGTTTAAAGAACCACGCATAAAAATAAAAATTAACGCGAGGACAAATACCACCTATTGAGAAAGTCCAGTCCAACACTAACTCATCCTTCATTCTCTCTTGATCGATCTTCCGTTAAGATGTAGTATCCTCGTCCAACCGGACGCGCTTGGGGCTTGTTTTGGCAGTAAAAATTTTCAGCAATCGGTTAAGGCGGCGTCCAAATAAAGTTTTGCGAATAGAAAGAGTAATTAGAAAATATTTCCTTTAATTTTTTTTTTCAGTTTGCATTTAATTTCCCTAAAAATAGCCCTAATCAATAGGAACTGTTTCCAGTTAAAAGATTTCACAAATATTGAGACAATAAAATAGTTGTCTTGTTTTTATTAATTTTTTTGGGAAAATAATAAAATATTATAGTGTCTTTAGTTATAATTTCGATTCTGGGAAGCTGCGCCGAAGAGACTAGGCGTCGACTCCGTTAACCATATGACTAACATAACGCCGCTCGTAGTATAACCAAGTGAATTGAATTAGCCTGTTCTGAGGACTCCTAAGATGAAGAAGGAAGTTGTTATGGTGAGTTTGCCTAATTGAACAACTATATATAAGAAGAGTGCCAATAATGATTAAAAAATAATTGTTATGTGGCTATGCCGATACAATATTAAAGATCATAGTGTTAAAGGCTAGAGATGAACAAAGTTTACAAGGCAAACTCCTTTCTCGCGCGGCTAAGGTTTCACGCAGTTGGAGAGCAGTTGGAGAAGTAATGGCACAATCAATACTCTGAAAATTGCCTCCCTAAAAATTTAGTGAAGAAGGGTATTTATGGATTCGTGTTGAACTACACACGTGTTGAGTTATCTTGTCGCTGTTTGGCTCAGAAGCCTGCTCAATCAGTCCGATCTTCTTCTCCAGTGCACCACCAAGAACACAAAGGGAGGGAGAAAAGCAACTATTACACAGTCTCTCTCCAGATCTCACAAAGAGGTAAAAGCACAGAGCTTTGAAGGAGCACAGAGCTCAGGTAGGGGAGAGGATCGCACAGTGGGTAGAAGCACAGCGGGTAGAAGCACAAAGCTCACAGGAGCACAAACTCGCAGAAAGGGGGAGATCGCACACAGCAGAGGGAAGCTCAAGCTCAGATCTTCACCTTACTGCCTCTACTTCCTCTTCATCCCTCTCCCAAGCTACTACCAACCCATTACCCATATATAGGGATGGGGGCAGCCGACCTAGGGATGAAATCACAGCGGCGGCCATCAAATCCAGAGATCGCGAAGACTTCCAGAGATCGCGAAGACTTAGGAGGAGGTGAGAACCATCGGGTAGGTGAGGGAAAATAGAGGGGCTAGGGCACAAGTGGGGGAGCTGGGCATTTAGTGGAATGGGCCAACTTATTGGGCCAACAAAACAACCAACATCAATTTATTATTTATTATGACTGGCATCTTTTAAGGTTGCCTTAGGCGAACTCTGCTTCTGTTGACTTTTAGGAAATTATATAGCTATTTTCTACGTGTCGCGTTCTTTAGTGTCTATAGTCAAAAAATATGGTTGAGTTCCTGAGGTTTAAGTATGAATTAATGGCATGGAAGTTTAGTGGTTGTGCAAGATATTGGTTGTTCTTTTTCTTCTCTTCAATTTCAAAAGGATTAACATGTAGCTAATGCATATAATGTTGATCATGGCAGCATTGGCAAAAGCGCAACAATTGTTACTTGATCCACAAGAAAGGGAATACGTTGTTAGTCAAATCAATGCTGCAAAAGGTAGGGTTATAATATGAATACTTCTGCTTTCTCATCTTCTAACTTATTATCATTTAGTCAGTCAGTTAAAATTCCATCATCAGTTTTGTCTTCGTTCTGTTTAGTTTCATATTTGTTCATCTGTACTTCATGACTTTGACCTTGCTTAAGTAGTTCATTAACTTGAACTTTATATGTTATTTTCAATTTTTTAAACAATTTCCTTTCTGAAAGAATTTTGTTCTTGTTCATATATCGTAGGTTATAATGATCTTAAAAAGGCAGTAATTTGCTACAAATTATGCTCGTATAGTAGTTAGATCTTGCCTATATGGCTATATCTTTCATGTAATGCTTATATATTTCTCTAGGAAGTCAATGTGTTTTATACTTCTTGTGTTACAGCGGTGATTGGAATTAGTTTTATTTTCTCTAATATACAATATATTTGATATTACTACTAAAAGGCATACTTGTTAAAATTTAATGTTCTGACTTTCAGAAGAGCTCAGGGCGAAGAGGAAGAAACAACTGAAGAAAGACAATGCTTCTAAAGTGAAGTCACTGGTAGAAGAGGTAATCTTATGGTTATTCTGAATTTGTTTGTTTTCGCTGTTTATTCTTTTTCCACACATAAGTCTCGTGTTAACTTGTGTTAAAGCTTGAAGATGTCCATTTTCTTTTTGAGCAGATTTGCTTCCACTCTTCAATTCTGAAGTTGTTTCTTTCTATTATTATTTTTATTATTAATTATCATTAACTATTATTGCTGTTGCCACTGTCGTTGTTGTAAACTCTAATTAGAACCGTATGTCATATCTATCTAGTCTTTAAATGTCTAGTAGAGTCTTGCAGTTCTCCTTCGTTCAAGGAGCTTACATTGCATGGCAATGAGTTATGGCATTCAAATTGATATATAGGCTTTAAAATATTAAAATATACCTCTTGTTTGTAGTTTTTCAGCGAGGAATATGGTACTGGTGTTAGGTTTTAACTAGTGTAACTATTGATCAAATGTTGGATTGGATAGATGTCAGATTCAATGGGAAAGTCTAGGATGATGACATGCTAGTGGTTTATTACATTCTAAGGAGCTCTATTGTATAAGCAATTTTTTGCTTCATGTAATATATTCGATATGCAGAAACATTTATCAAGTGTTGGATTAGGTAGGTGGCACTGGCATCAGGTTTTAGCTAGTGTAACCATTGATCAAGCGTTGGATTGTGAAGGTTCAATGGGAAAGTCGAGGATAATGGCATGCTGGTGGTTTATTAAATTCTAAGAAACTCTATTGCATAAACAGAGTTTTACTTTATGTAATATATTTGATATGCAGAACCATTTAGTCACCAAAAATGACCACCATGAAGCATCATTTTTGAAAAATCCTTTCTCACAGGCAGATAGTAACCTGAGTCTAGAATGATAACATGATATGAGATCAAGTAAACTCTCAGCAACTCTATTTTATGAACAAATGATTTTCTGTATATATGTATTCAAATGCAGATCCATTTGCTTGCAAATATTTTCCTCGTAGCACAGTTTAATCACCTTTTATTGATTATTCTAAAAGGTCTTGTCTTACTGCATTATTGATCTGATTGTATCTGGGATGAGTGATATTTCACTTTAAAAAAGTTTCTATTTTGTCTGCTATTGATTCCAGTGTTTGTTCTTGTTGTGTGTAATATGAAGACTGTAGCTTTTTTCTTCATATATTGATATTATCCTGTCATATCTTTATTTCTAAATATTCTTTTGTTAAAATATTTTTTCATCACCTGGCTTCCCTATATTTTAATCAAGTAGGTGTACGCAAATTTTACTAAACCTGGTTTCTTCAATCATACTCTCATATCAATGCTTATGATCAAGAACGTTCACTTATCTGGTGTTTCTGTGTCATTTTATATTTCCTTAATTGCTTTCCAACTTCTTGCTTCCTTGAATGCCTTTTTTGGGAACACTTATCCTGGATTAGCAAGCTGGAAAAAGGCTTTTTCTTGCATATGGGATTACAAATGGTAACTGGAAATGACAAATTAATGCCGTGACAAATGAGTGAATGTTCACTTATCTGGTGTTTCTGTCATTTTATATTTCCTTAATCTATTTCCAACCTCTTGCTTCCTTGAATGCCTTTTTTTTGTGGAACAATAATCCCGGATTAGCAACCTGGAAAAAGGCTTTTTCTTGCATATGGGATTGCAAATGGTTACTGGAAATGACAAAAATTAATTTTTGTTTCATGAGTAAAACCCAAACTTTCCTAGAATAATCATCAATCATGGAAAGAAAATATTGGTTCCCTCCATGCATAGGCACACTAGAGGGACCCCACACATCAGCATGCAAATATTCAAGTACACTAGTGCACTTAGACTGATTAGGAAAAGAAGAAGTAGGAAAAGTAACCCTATGTTGTTTTCCTAGCACACAAGATTCACAGAAAGGGATGGGGGATATTTTATCACTACCAAAGTGACCTCCTTTATGCAAAATTTCTAATCTTTTATTACTCATGTGACCTAATCTATTATGCCATAAAACAGATTTATCACCTATCACAGAGTTAACAGAATCAAGCACAGGTTCAGCATGACAAATATACAAATTGTTTTGTTTTTCAGCAGTAAAAACAACAAGAGACCCTTTTTGAATTTTCATAACCCCTTTACCCCATTTTCCCTCCAAACCATCATTTTCTAGAGATGCACAAGAAATCAAGTTATAACGTAAATCAGGAACATGCCTAACATCCTTCAAAGTAAACACAGAACCAGAGGAAAACCTAAGGCATACATCACCAGTTCCTAAAACATTGCATTTCTTTTCATTTGCCATTGACACAAAGCCATTCTCTATTTTCTTGTAGTTTGAAAACAAGGTTTTAAAAGGAGTCATATGAAAAGTACAACCAGAGTCTACTAACCAATCTGATTTACACAAAGGATCAGATAACACAGAGTTCAAATATGCATAATCACATAGATTATTAATCATGAAAATCTCACCCATTTTGCCCTCACAGACAGCCATATTAGCATGTTCATTTTGCTGATTTT